TGAGAGGGGGAGCGGCTGAGGACTCTAGATTCATCAACTAAGAAGAGAAGGACTAAGAACTGGTGGCCAGGAGCAGACTTGCAGAATGTGCCCTTTTGAGATGTAAATTATTATATATGCCTGAGTGGGTTTTTTTGTTTGTGTGTTTTTTAAAAATCTAAAGTGGATAGAGAGAAATAGTTTTAACTGATGGTATATGGAGGGGATTATAATCATTATAATTAAGTTTTATGAGTTGTTGAATGTGAAACTGATGATGTGCCCTATAAACTTTTACTCACTCAATCCACAATAAAAACCTTAAAACAAAACAAAACAAAAAACCCGAAAGCACCAAGGTTACCTCCTGCCAAGGAACACTGCGTGTCATAGTGCCACCCTGATATCTGGGTTGAGTGTGCTCCATTTGAAACAGTGGACGAAAGGGCCGATGTTGATGATTCTTTGGGTTCTGGACGAGGTGGAGTTGGAGGTGGAACAGAAGCGCCTACAGGAGCTGCAGGCTGAGGAGCTGTTATGGCATCAATCTCCTTAAAATGAAAATATGAACATTTTTTTAAAAAGATGGGAGGGAGAGAAACAACCCAAGAGTGACAAGTTTGTTAACCCGTTGAGATCCAGATTCTAAAGTGGCATCAATAACTAAAAGTCCACACAAAAGTACTGCTAACCGCAAGGAAGTTGGCCAATGTACTGTCAATATCAGCCGACTGGTTTCCATTCGCCTCTTTCAATTGTGCCGGTTTTTCCGAAGCATCACTCTCATCATCATCACTGTCAGCATATGCACCAAGCAAGCAAAGACCTCCTAAAAACAAAAGTAACAATTATTTGTAACAACATCAGTATGTTCTAGGAAATATAAAAAAAATAACATGTTCTTTAGCCAGAGTTGTTGTTAAGTGCCTTGGAGTCGGTGCCAACTCATATTGACACTATATAGGGTTTCCAAGGAGTGACTGGTGAGTTTGAACTGATGACCTTATAGTCCAGTACTTATTCTATAGCGACTCCTTAGCAGAGTTTACAATTAATTTACTGACTAGAACTTAACTTCATCATCAAAAATCAGAGGCATGTAAATTATAACAGTATGTACACAGAGCTAATATAAAAATTCACATCCTTTTAATCAATTATTCAATCTCATTTGTTCTTTCAAAATATCACATAGTATATTATGTATTTTAGAGGCCTGGGTAGCTCAAGCAGTTTTGGTCTGCTGTTAACCCAAAGGCTGGCAGTTTGAAGAGACAGCAGCTCTGTGAAAGGTCTAGCCAATTGCTTCCATAAAGATTACAATAAGAAAACTGTATGGACTAGTTCTACTGTACCACAAGTCAGGGGTCAACAGCTAAGCCGATTAAGATGTAGCACTTGAAACAAAGATTAAAATAGGAAGTGGTAGGAATTAAAATACATCATCTGTGGCTCCATATATATCCTCTCTCTATAAAAAGTAAATTTTTTATTCTAATAGGCATATGAGATATTAAATTCTAGCTGCACCTTTCAGCTATTACTAACACTAAATTTTATAGTGCCTTGTACATTCTATGTTCACAATAAATATTTGGAACAGATTTATCAGGAAGGAAAAGGCAATCTTCTGTCATATAGTCTATAAAGTTAACTAATAGGTTCATCAAAAAGCAAACCAAAATGTTCATTACACAATAATTTACATTCAATATTTTAGTCATATATCTTACTTTATTTTTTAATATGTCGATAAGTTTACACTATTTACTTAAATTTCAAAATATTATTTTAAGCAGATCAGAATGGTTTTTAAGTGGACAGTTCGTTATTTGATAGTGTTTGTGTTCCAAATGCACAGAGGATTGGAGGGGAAGGGGAAAAGGTGGGAAGTTTATATTTATATATTGAAAACACTTCCCAGTCACACTTATTCACTGTGATGGCACAGCTCTAACTCACAGCAACCTTAGATGTCATGGCAGAACTGCCCCACAGGTTTCAAAGGCTACCAAATCTGTCAGATAGCAGCCAAGCATCTAGCCACCGCACCAACAGGGCAGGGCTCCGAGATAACAGAGGTAGTTGGTAAATAAAAATGATAGTTGTTCTGAATCTAGTTCTGAAATGTTGGCCAGGGAGAAAAAAATTATTACTTCAGGAGTCAACTAGTATAAAAATAAGGAGCTCTCGTAGCATAGTAGTTAAGAATTGGGCTGCGAACCTTAAGGTCAGCAGTTCAAAACTACCAGCTGTTCCGTGGGAAAAAGATGAGGCTTTCTGCTCCAGTAAAGATTTACAGCCTCGGAAACCCTGTACAGGGTCACTATGGGTCAGAACCGACTCCACAGCACATAACAACAACATAAAAGTACTCCAAATAGAAAAGAATGAAATTACTATAATTATGGGGTATTTAGCTGAAAAAAACGTATTAAAATATTTTGTGATACATAGAGAGTAAAGAAAATGAACATTTTTGGCACGGATCATGATAGAAAACTTTATACACATTCAAGTGAAATCTTGAAATTACTCAGGACTATTGGATTTATTTTATGTGAGAATGCTAGAGCAGTGATTTCAAGTCAAGTTTGCCTACAAAGCCATGCTGCAAATATCTCTCAATGCTTAATATTTTATAAGAACAATTACCAGGTTGACTAACAACTGCTAGGCAGCATGCTGTAAAAGGAACATAAGGGCAGGTAAGAGACCAAAAGAAAAACTAACCTAATGGAAGGACCATAAAACATATTACCAAAAAGCATCAGAAGAAAAAGTAGTAATTTTGAGTACACAGAAAAAGCAACAACAAATTTTGCAACTGTCAAAGTATATATATACCAAGTCCTCCCAAACAGATTTTAAATGTCCATTTCATGGGACAAATGTAAGTTAAATACTGAAGCACTTAAAGTAATCTCCTAAAGACCTAATTAGATTTTAATGAAAGATATTCTAGAAAAAGGAAACCACTATACCTGTTGCCTTCACAGCTGTGGGTCTGGTAGTCATGACTGGTTTTGGAAGATTCTGAACAATTCTAGGAACCTCTGCCACCACTTCCTGCTCATCTGGATCTGAAACAAGCAAATAAAACTGCAGTCAAACTATGGACAAGAGAGAACACTTGAAGAAACACAATACTCTCTGATTTAATCTTTCAAAGCCTTGCTGTTGTTAACTGTTGTTGAGTCAATGCCGACTCACAGCATCCCTGTATAGGGTTTCTCAGGAGCAGTTGGTGGGTTTGAACCATAGACCTTGAAGTCAGCAGTCCAGTGTTTATCCTACAGTGCCACACCTAGAAATCATGATTTGAAAAACAAGGGTGTATAATCCATCACTGACCCAGATCACTGAGACATGAGAAACACTTCCCTTTGCCTAGTGACTTTAACATAAAGAGAAGAACCTACACATTGTATTTGAAAATTAAATTTTAAGTTAACTCCTTAAAACTTTTTAGTGATTTCATTTGAAAACCAAAACTCTTCTAATTCTGCTTTTAAATATATTTCTCTAATAAACTCTAAAGCAAGTGTACAAACAGATAAGGTATTAATTGCATCACTAATCCCCCAAGAGAAACAAGTCTGAAGCAACCTAAATGCCCATCAACAGTGGAATGACAAAAGGGAATATTCATACCACAGATTACAACAGCTAAATTCAACACCAACCTTACACATTAACACACAAATCACCAAAATATTACAAAAAGATGTGCACGGTTTCATGTCATTTATGCCATTTATGCAACGATAACAACAAACAGCCTAGAAATAATGTAAAATTCTCCAACTACACTAAGCTAGTGCATTCATCAACTCTGGGATATTCTTGTGGTAGTGGTGGGGATTTAGGGTCATGGGGGCTATTAGTAAAGTTTTGTTTCAACAAACGTAAAAGCCAAAAATGGCCAACCACAAACACCTGTTTAATCTGTGTTGGTGTTAAGTACTGTCCTGTTGGTTCTGTCAAATAGCAACCTTTATGGGGTCTGAGGCTTTAAAATCTTCTGGGCCAGTGGCTGGCAGTCTTGAACTGTGCACCTTGTGGTTTGCAGTCCAATACTTATCGTTCGAAGCCATCACTCTCACTTAATCTGTGTTGTGGTTGTTAAGTATTGTCGATTGGGTTCTGATCCATAGTGACCCTGTAAGGAGTTTCCGAGGCGTTGCTGGTGAGCTTGAACCGCCAACCTTGCAGTTCAAACAGCTTTGCAGCTTGGCGCATTAACCCACAACACCACACCAGGACTCAGTGATCCTGTACTAGGGTTTCTGAGGAGCAGCTGATGGTAGAGCCACACCAGGAATCATCTGTGGAGTGGATGCATTTACGAGAGGGGCTTTCAAAAAGCTCATAAAAATGTAATGAAAGGACAATGGGATTTTTGCACGAACTTTTTGAAGCCCCCTCGTATTATTCTTCTACTTCTGAAAACCACCACTTACACACAATTTCTCTCCCCAGGCTGCCCCAGGGCTTTCATTGCGATCCCATCTTCCCTGGGCGTGTGGACACCTGGTCGGTGGTGGCGGGCTCACGGGAACCCACACCCTCTATGGTCAAACTGGGGGTAAGTTAGGGAGCGCGGGGCCCCATACGATGAACACTGGGCTGCGAACCACTAAGTTGGCGGTTCGAGCCCACCAGCCGCTCCGCGAGAAAAAGACGAGGCTTTCTGCTCCCGCAAAGATTTGTGGTCACGGAAACCCGATACAGGGTAGCTACGCGTCGGATCCGACTCGACGGCACTTAATAGACTGTGGTGGGCATTAATAAACTTCTGAGCAGTCTCTCCGTTTCAATGGGAGTCTCTTTTCAGTTTCCACAAAAACGGAGGGAAAAGCAGAAGACGTGCAGCCAAGGCCATGGGCTCTGCTCCACGGTCACCACGCCGCGGACACTACACTCACCAGCTCGATAAGTAACCCCAAACCGACACCGGACCCCCAGTCGTATCCAGACGTTTCCGGGAAGCCCGCCCACAGAGATGGCGCTCAGGGTCCGGGCACCGTGGCTCCAGGCCGCCCGCCCCGCAGGCCGCACTCAGGCGAGGACGCGAACCCCGCCCGCCCGGGCTCTATCGCTCCCCGCGCCTCATGAGGCCTAGTCCTCAAGCCCCGGCCTCGAGTTTCAGGCAGTACGACGGCAGGCCGGGGCCTCGCGCGCGCTCACCTTCCGCAGGCGAGTCTTCCGGGACAGGGGCTGCGGCAGCCAGCGCCGCGGCCGTCGCCACAGCCGTTGCCGCCGGGGCTGGCTGACTAGGGGCCGCAGCCGTCGAGTCCGGCTCGGGGTCGGGATCGGGATCGGGATCTCGCCCAGGAGTACTGCTCCGGGGACCCGGCGGGGAGAGCTGCAGGATGGGCCTACGGCCAGGGACGGCCCGGGACTTCTTCCCCATCGCGAGCCCGAGCGCGAGCACCCAGCGTCTGGCCACTGAAGGGGGCGGGCGCTCGGCGTGGCTATGCGTAATCAATATTCATGTACCGCGACTCCTCGTCTAGCAAGGATCCGCTCTTAACCGGCGGAGCGCGCGCTCGCGCAAGCGCCTTGGGTCTTTGACGTTCTTCTGATTCCTACTCCCATAGGAGGAAGGGCGGGCTTTACCCACGGCACTAAGCGATTGGCTGTTTTAATCTAGACAAGGAGTCAGTAGTCAATGAAAAAGGAAAAACCGTGAAAGTCGAGCCAATCGTGAGGAAGGGCTTAGTTTAGCAGGACTACCCCACTTACGTCGGGTTCCACCCATGCGTTTTTTGTGGAGTCTTTTCTTTGCCTCCTGTCCTCCATTTTGGGGTATTCTCGGATAATATCTGTAATTTCTAGTCTGTCCTAGAAATTGTTCTCCTTGTCCATCCCTTCCCAACTTTCGCCCTGATTATTGTGGTTTACTTTGGGTATGTTGACTATTAAATAGGATGGTGACTGGTGGCTGTGTGCCGTGGAGTTGGTTCCGACCCATAGTGACCCTGTACAGGGTTTTCGAGGCTGTAAATCTTTACGGGAGCCGAAGGCCTCATCTTTCTCCCGCGGAACAGCTGGTAGTGTCGAACAGCTGATCTTGCGGTTCGTAACCACTATGCTACCAGAGGTAGTGGGTCTTTTATGCTTTTGTGGTTAGAATGTAACTCGAGAGCTTTAAGAATCTGGTCATGCGGGAGTTCTCAGCCTACATTTCCAGATTGGTTATTTCCTTTCCCGGGTCACTCTGAGCTAACCTCTAGGAGAATCACGTCTTAGTCACACCGTCAAAGCTTTGTACTAGTTACACTAACTGCTTCATTACGTGACAAAATGCTTTGATTGATGCAGACGTTACTTCAATGTTTTCTTTGCCTGGGCCCCTCCACCAGCACTTGACCTTATGTTGATTAACCTGTCTCTGCTCTTAACTGAGTTTAAGAAGAAATCCAGTGGCATTGGCTACCTTAGTTCCGAGAACATAGTAATAGTCAACATTTTTTGAGCAGGAGCTAAATGCCAGGTATTGTTTTAGATGTATCATTGCATTTGATTCTTAGGGCAGATAACATAATCTCCCTTCCACAAATGCACCCTCAAGATGAAAGTAGTGGCTTTTGTTCCCTGTCTATGCAGTGCCTGGAGCCCTGCAGGAGAATGCACTAGACCACAAGGTTGGTTAGAATCCTAAGGTGAGCGGTTCAAACTCACCAGCCACTCCTTGGAAACCCTATACAGGGTCGCTCTGAGTCGGAACAGACTCAAGGGCATTTAACAACAAAAGGAGTCCTGGTGTGGCTCCTTGGGCTAATAGTCAGATTGCAAAGCCGTTTGAACTGCAAGGTCAGTGGTTAAAGCTTACCAGCTGCTCCTTGGAAACCCGTCAATTTGGGTTGGAATCGACTCAACGGCACTAAACAACAACAAGGAACCCTTGTGGTAATCCTGGTGTTACTGCAGCGCGAGTCAGAAAGAAAACTGGAAATCTTAAAGAGCAAAGTTTATTGCAGGTGGCCAGAGTCAGCTAAAGCCTAAATCACTCTGACCCTGAAGTGAGGAGGGGAACAGGGTTTTATACAAAAACACAGAGTGGTTAAAACAAACAGACTTGTCTTGTTACCTGGGGTGGAAAATTCCAGGGGACCCTTATCCTGTAAGTGCTCTTTGATCTTCATCAGTAAGTATTTTAAGTGTTGATAGTTAGTCCAAGAAGAATGAAGTCCTTGACAACTTCAAGCTTTTCTCCTTTGATAAGAATGTTGCTTATTGGTGTAGTGGTAAGGATTTTTGTTTTCTTTACATTGAGATGTAACCCATACCGAAGGCTGTGCTCTTTGATCTTCATCAGTAAAT